CTACGATGAGGATAAGTCCGGATGATAAAAGAGACAAATCCCGCAGGTCCGTACAGCTATAAAACAATCGATGAAATACTTGCGGGGCATCGGGTACGGCCATCGCTAAAACTTTTAAAACCCACAAAGGAAACATTTAGGGGGCGTCACCTAGTGATGAACGAGCTTGCCACTCCTTCGCTCGTTCCCAACGCGGTCCTCCTTCGTATATTTCTCTTTCTCGGTCGATTACGTTCCTAACTCACCCACGAGAGACGGCTAACTTCAAGGAGGTCGTTTATTTAATGCTTTATACACGTCCATCTTCGTATCCTCTCTTCTCTCGTCCTTTCCAATATATATCCTTTTTAACCTTCTCCTCTTCTCTTTGTCCTACTTTGACGCGAAAATATTTTTTCTCTCTTTTTAGTCACTCGCGAGAGAAATTATAACATCAACAACTATATATGTGTATATATATATGTGTATATATGATGAAACAGGCCATCTGAAAAAGAAAATAATTGTTGGGTTTGGTAAGGATAGGAGTATATGCACGATGCAAAGTTCTTAATTAATTCTATTAATTAGGTACTTGCTGTGGTATATAGCAAGTATATATGCAATTTGTATTAATCTTATCTGAAAGAGTTATATATTCTCTATTGTATATAACCGTTTCGTTTATAATTTAAGAGACTTTTAGATACATTGGAAAAGAGGAGAGAGAGAGTGGAAAATGAAGTAAACAGATGGGTAGTAAAATAAAAATAATGGAATTTCTAGGGATCGATTAAAGAACGAGCTCAAAGGAAGAATGGACGCTGTAAAAGTGCATTCGCCGACGAAAAAGGTTTCCATGGAACGCAATTAAGCGATGTAATGAGATTCTTGTGACGACCATACCGAATGTTCCTCTCTATGTATGTTTGTACCTGGCAAGCACGCGTGAAATTCTCGAACGAATGTAGAAAAATTTAAAACGAAACGAAAACATATTTCCATCAGCGTGAAAGAAGATTGGATTTCGTATATCCAAGTAAATGCCAAAGCCATTCACTTTTATTCGTTTTGAATATCGAGATGAGAATTAACGAGCGTTTCATCATTCGTCGTTGTGTCTCGTGTCGAAACAATTCGATGAAATGCAATTTCCAAACGAATCGACCGATTCGGGTAACGAGCTAATTAGACACGACCAACGACTTAACCTAACTTTGCAAAACGTCCTTATAAATCTGACGCGAAAAAACTTTTTAATTAAACGGTGCGACTTGTACATTTATTACGATTATGCGCAATATTAAATACAATTTCCATCGTTTTTCTTATATATAAAATAAAGAAGAGAAAAATTTATTACTTACTCTTAAGCGATACAAATTATTGGATACTAAATTTCTAGTGAAAAACTCGACTAGGGAAAAAAGTGGAACTTATATAAATTACACGATACGCGTCCTGTCACAAAAAAAAAAAAAAAAAAAAAAAAGAGCAGTAAAGATGAAACTAAACGATGAAAATGCCTGTGTAAAGCGTCAATCGATGGGCTTAAAAGCGCAAAGGCGATAAAAATCGAATTTTGGGATCGAACTCCTGTCAGTGACGACCTAATTTTACAAAGAGCTCCGGTTAGTCGCGCGTGTATTTTTCACCAATATTTAACTTATTCGAGTGAATTATTCGACGGTGTGACATTGAACGAAACTTTTTGTAAAAGTAGCATGAGCGTATAATAACCGTGACGCAAGTTTTTCTGTGACAATGAAACGACAAAGTTTCACGCTATCAGCATTAGCGTCTCTTCGTTCGGAATAGCTAACAATAAGTATTATATTCAGTAACAGCTTTGACAAGTTCCATCTGAATACCCGTTCTTATCAACTTTCAATTTTACTATACTAAAGATAATACTATAACAAATACACATTCGATGATCCTCCAAAATTTATTTTGTCGATGAACACACATCAAGTCTGTCTAATAATACAGTGCTCGGTGAAATTGCGACCCAGTTAGGCTTTGACCCACTTGGTTCCATCCGTAATCATCCTCGAGTGCTCTGCACGGATTGATATTAGAGGTAAACGTGCCACGCTAGGAGGATACCTGTGTCTAGAATCACGTTTTCATCGGATACTAGCTTCGTTCGTTTCATTTCCTTCATACGTAGATACTAAAAAATGTCAATTACCTGTGATTACTTGTATTTATTTTTAAATAGACACGGTAAACAAAAAATTTTTTTCTCTTAGTCATCAAACAGGATATAATGGGCAAACATCAAAACCTCTAATTATCAGAACGACAACTTATGATAAACAATTTTTTCGATCGAATAGATTCTATAAACTGATCTTGTTATTTTTGAACGATAATGTTTTTATACGGAGAAGAGAAAGAGAGAGAAAGAGGGAGGGGGAGAGGGGAGGGAGAAAGAGAGAGAGAGAGAGAGAGAGAGAGAGAGAGAGAGAGA